TGAGGTCTCCACACAACCTTCTCTTCTCCAGGCTGAACAGCCCCAGCTCTCTCCTAAGGAAGCTACTCCAACCCTCAGATCAGCTTTGTGTCCTCCTCTGGACTTGCTCCAACAGTTCCATGTCATTCTGTTGTTGGGGCCACCAGAGCTGTGTGCAGCACTCCAGGTGAGGCCTCACCAGAGCAGGGCAGAGGGGGAGAATCACCTCCTTGGACCTGCTGCCCACACTCCTTGAGATGCAGCCCAGGATTCGAGGCCATGATAAGCCACAGATTGGTATGGATGCTGTTTATAGCCTCAAACCTGTGAACCTCTTCTGCCAGCTCAATGGTCTGTGTCTCCCTTCCCTCCCTTCCAGGTGCTTCTGACCTGACAGCCTTCAGTGACCCTCGGGTGGGCATCGACCGCTCTTTCTCCGCTCTGCCCTCCATCTCCGACCCTCGGATGCACTACCCAGGAGCCTTCACCTACACCCCCACCCCAGTCAGTTCAGGGATAGGAATCGGCATGTCAGCCATGTCCACAGCCACCAGATACCACACATACCTCCCCCCTCCCTACCCAGGCTCATCCCAAGCCCAGGGCAGCCCCTTCCAGACCAGCTCTCCTTCTTACCACCTCTACTACGGAACCTCTGCTGGCTCCTACCAGTTCTCCATGATCTCTGGAGGAGACAGGTCCCCTCCACGCATCCACCCACCCTGCACCAACGCCTCCACGGGCTCCACACTCCTCAACCCCAACCTCCCCAACCAGAGTGATGTGGTGGAGGCAGAAGGGAGCCACAGCAACTCCCCCACCAACATGGCAAGCACGGCAAGGCTAGAAGAAGCAGTGTGGAGACCATACTGAAGACACCTCAAGGAGTTCTGGGTCAGGACTAACATGCTTCCCACTTCCCACAGGGATCCCACAACCACCCATCTTGCTCTTGGGCATGTTCAACCATCAGTTTCAGAAGCAAAACCTCCCAAAGTCAGTGCTCCTAGGAGTGGTGGCAAGTGTTAGCCAACCCTTGGCCAAGCCACGTGGCTCCGGTGGTGTATCCCTGAGCTTCTGGCGAGGAGGACACCTAAGTTGGTGGTCCTGAGGGAGTGAGGTTGGGTAGGAAGGCACCTAGTGTGTTTCCATCCTGGGCTTGAAGGTCTCCACAAGAGAGTTTTGGTTCACTTCTGTTTTTAAGAGTTCAAACCAACAAAACCCAACCCAACTTAGGGAGTTTACTCCATCTTATGTACATCATAAGGAAATATAGGAAGATTCCCAAAGGGAAACTGTGAAAGCTTCCATTTTAGCAATGCTGTGAATGAGAGGTTTTATATGTTGGACTTCATCCTTGCTTTTTTATTTGTGGGGTTTTTTTTTTAAACCAGATCGGATGTTCCAAAGAAAAATGGAATTTTTTTATCGCTGGGGTTGTTTTTATGGGGGTATTTTTTAGGATGCAGCTCATCCTGCTTTGCATCTCATGTGTTTGATTTCTCTTGGCACCTTATAAATTGCAAAGAAAGCCCAGATTTTGCTTTTTTGTTGTTGTTGTTGGTTTAATGCTTTTTTCTTGCTTTGTCCACTGAAAGAATCAGCCCCTTTTTTTTTCCATGAGTTAATTTAACTTTTTATCTCTTGGACTTGTTGGTTTTTTTTACCACAGCCTTGGGCCATTTTTCAACTACTGTACTTCTTTTATGAGTTCTTTGATATTTATGCTTGATATTTAGACTTTTCTTATTTGTGGATACCTATTATTATTTAAATATGCCTATATTAAAGAGAAAAAAAGATCAGCAATTGCCTTTTTTTGGGAGCAGCCAAAGGCCAATTTGTCACATTGAAAAAGGCTGGAAAAACCATGGGTAAAGTGACCTCTTCATTCCCTAGGAATATTGTTTACAGTTGTCTCACTCTCATGTCCTCAGCTCAGATCCTCCAAGGGATTGAGGTGCAAAATTCCCACTGGAAGGCACCAAAGTCCTTGGGAGTTTCTGTGCTTTCCCATGCAGTGGAGTCATCTCTCCCTATTCCTTCCATGCTTTTCCTTCATCACCATAGAATCATAGAATCATCAAGGCTGGAAGAGACCTTTGAGATCATCAAGGCCAACCATGGTGTGGAAGAGACCTCGAAGATCATCAAGTGGGAGGTGTCCCTGCTCATGGCATGGGGTGGAATGAGATGATCTTTAAGATCCTTCCAATCCAAACCTATGATCCTATGGTCTGGAAAGCTCCAGCAAAGACAAGGCCTGAAAGGTTCTTCCATCATCATCTCCTGAGATAAGAGAAAGGTATTTAAAGCAGGTGTAGACAATGTTCTGCCCTGTAGCACATCTCCAAGGCTCATCCTAATAGCATGTTAGGGCGGTTGGACTCCATGATCTTAGAGATCTCCTCCAAGCTTGATGATTCTATGTCTCTATGTCCAGCATGGAGTGGTCACCATGCCCATCATTCCAGCACAAACATATCAGATGTCACTGTAGAGCTTATGGCACTATTTCCTTGGAGGTTTTTTTGGCCTGAATGAGTTGTTGGACTCCTTAGTAACTCCAAAACTGCTGATGTTGAGTCCCCCAAATGAGCTGATTCTTATTTAATGTACCTCTTCAAACGAGTGGCAACAATTGCAGGGCAACTCAGAGAGTATTTGCAAGCAGGACTTCAGAGCAGTGTTTGATTCCAGTGAAGAGGATTCCAGTGAACAAGATCCTTGGCTGCAGGCAGCAAGACAGGTGGATTTATTTAAAACCATTTGGTTTTCAAGTTGTCTTTTTATATATATATACATATATATACATATATATATATATATGTATGATTTTTGCTTGTTTAAGGCAGATGCAGTAGCACTTTGGTCTGGAAAAGTGATGGATTGAAAAATTGACATGGGTAAAAACAAAAAAAAAAAAGGTTGTTTTGGTGCAGGAAATTAAGGAGTGTTTCAAGAGAGCTCAGCAACAGCTCAAAGTGTGTCACACATTCCTTGGGGTTTTACATTTGATGGGGTATTCTTGAGCATCTTCCAGTTGCTCTGAATGGAAAAAAAAGGCAGAAAACATCAAAGGAAAGGATACTTCAGAGATCTTGGTGAATATAGAGATCCAGAGACCTGATGTGGCATTTAATAGTTGGACTCTAACCTCTTCAGTAGCCCAAACAAAGTCCTTCATCACTGAAGAGTAGCTCTGTGCAGAGTTTATGTCACACATGCTCTGTCTCTATGCACTTAAACCACCATTTACCAGAGCTCTCACATCTCTCCTGTGGCTGGAATGCCCAAGGGCAGAGTAATGTAATGGGAACCAGAAGGGAGGGACAGGAGAGGAGCTTAGAGGAGCTGGTGACCTCATCATGGAGGGGAGATGACTTAGAAAGGGACTTTTCACTAGGACATGGAGTGACAGGACAAGGGGAAAGGCCTAAAGATGAAGGAGAGTAAGATTAGATTAGATCTAATCTATTGGGGAGAAATATTGGGGAGAAATTGCTCCCTGTGAGGAGCTGAGACACTGGCACAGGTTGCCCAGAGCAGCTGTGGCTGCTCCATCCCTGGGAGTGTTCCAGGCCAGGCTGGATGGGGCTTGGAGCAGCCTGGGCTGGTCACATGAAGTTGATGTAGTCGCCCAAGTGAGGTAGATGTGGTCACCACAGTCCCAGGTCCATCTACCACCACAACCTGCTTTCTGCTAAAGCTCTTTGCCCCTTTCAACCCCCAAGGATTGACAGCCACCCACTTGTGAAGCCAAAAGGTCACAGATTCACAAGAATATGGAGTTGGCATCTCTTAGCCTGGAGATTAGACTCTACAGCGAACATTTCTTGGGTCTATACATCTATTTTCTCCACACTTGCCCTAAAAGTGAAGTTTAATTTTGCTCTCCATGGTGCGAACAGGGTGAGGATCTTCAGAACAGGTCACCACACTTCCCCCATGTCTTTAGTGACACTTAACTGGGATTTCCTACTGTCTCCCATGTGATAAGTGGCAGCAAAGAAACTTTTGAGCCAACCTCGCTGTGTATGTCAAGCACAGAGAGAGGAAAAGCCAAGCTTATTATCCCTGGCAATTAGTCTGTGTAATCACTGTGGCTTTAATCACTTAGGAGAAACCACAGTTTACCCAAATCCCTATTTTTGTGGCCATCTCCTGTCCCACCAAGGGCAGCAAAGACCTCCAGGGCTGGGAAATGGCTCTCATGTTGTTCCACTTGTATCTTAAGAGCAATGAGAAGGTAGAAAGAGGAGATTTGGATAAAATATTCCCTCATCCCTATCTCCAAATTGCAGTATCTGTTTTTCTAGGTGCATAATGTCTGTTTGTCTCCTTTTTTCATCCCAGTAGGTGATTGGGATCAAAACTGTAGTACTGTTGTGGTTCTGCTGTGGAGTTGCAGTGAGCAGAGTGCCTGAGGCACCTTCCCCACCCCAGATTCACCTCCTGGTAGTCCTTCCTATGAGCCTGTGTGTTCCTGTCACAAGACACAGCTCCTTGTCTAGATTTCCCTGTATCAAACAGCTTCAAAGGTCACACATGACCTCGATCTCGTTGGCTCTGAGGCCTCAGAGTTCACTCT